TGCTACAGTAACTTTTACTTTGTTTATGAACTACTCATAGTTACTTAAAAATCTATACTTAGGGAAAATTCAGTTTAGCATTTATCTCCCATGGAAAGTCTCCTGACTCCTGTCTCAGTCTAGTACTCTATGAATACCATGAATCATATTGCATTGTAATAAGATCTATTCTCTCTACTAGATTGTATACCCTTAGAGAAAAGGAATACCCTTATCATCTTTGTATCCTTAGCATGTTGTCAAGCATACTAGTCATGTAATAAACTTTTGCTAAATGAATGAATGCATGGGAATTAGAAAAAAGATTAGACTTAAATTTTTCAAAACAAAAAACAACAACAACAAAAATTCTAGAGCTGAGTCCTGGCTTTACCACCTTCTAGCTGTATGACCTTGAGAAGATGACATAACTTTGTTCTCATCTGTAAAGAAAAAAAGCAAAAAATAACAATAGTAAAATCTATTAACTACAGTCCTGTCTACCTTAAAGGTGAATTATAAAGTGATAGTAAAGGTAAACTACTGTCCCTACCAGTAAGCTGTAATGCCAATTTAGGTTAGGAAACAGGGCTTTTACTAATACGATCCCCTCACTCCCTTGCATTGTACCTAAAACTGGCAAGAACAGAGGGAACACTGTAGAAATGTCCAGAGGTGAGGCAGGACATGGCATTTTGGGAACTACTCAACAGCGTAGTGTGGTGAGAGAATTCTATTAGCCAAATGAAGGAGAAGTTGAGAGGTAAGCAGAGGTTAGATATCCAAGGCTTTATTAGCCTTGTTAAGAAAACTGGACTTTATCCTAGAGGCAGGAGGGAGCTATTTCACTCGTTAAAATTTCTTCTCTGACTTAACGTTTGACTAACATTTTTACTGTGGTAAAATTATTCTCACTGGTGGCTATTAATATTTGAAGTTATTTTTAGAAAGTGAATAGCAACTCTTTCTAGGACAGTGACCAAAACACCTAAGCTGTACTCAGAAATGATATTAGTTATTTTAAAGACTATCCTTACTTGGCAAAATAAGCTGGCAAACTTAAGTGACTTCGCTATTTCCTTGTTTTTGTTTTGTTTTTTTAAAAAAAGCTGTTTTGTGAACTTGTAGAAAGAACTCCTCTTATGGCATTCTAACTATACTTGAATACCTATTAGAAAGTTCTTTACATCGGGTCAATTTTCCCCCCGCCTCCCTAAGGCATCCCCTTTGAGATTACTTAAAATAAACCTAATCCCTTTTTCTTATAACAAATCTTCAACTTCTTAAAGACTATGTCTCTCCTTAAACTTCTCTTTTCAAAGCTATAGGCAAAATATTCCCAGTTTATGATATGAAAAATTCTACCTAAAAGTTTTAATGTTTAAAGTGATAAATTTTTAACTACTGGGACCCAAATTACTCATTTCCTTACGGCTCCCCTAGGGCTTCTAAGTAATGTCTGGTAGACAGTATAGGATTTGACAAAGTTTACTAGCTTAATGCTAAAATCATGTGACAATATGCTAGTAAATAATAATAACCACACTAGAATAGTATTAGTTAAATTGATTTTCTAGAAGTGTACCACAGAATTTCTATCCTCAACCTGTCTGGCTCAGTATTTACTATCAGACTTAAATGAAGGCATAGGAAGTTTGTTTAACAAGTGATTTTAAGTTGGGAGAATTAATACAATAGGCAATAGACACAAGATACAAAAGAATCTCGAGAAGATGGAGTCATGGATCAAATCTAATAATTTGTTAACTATCAGGTCCTGCTTTCAGCACAGATAATCAACTCTACAAGTACATTCAGGTTGCAAAGGAAAGTGACATGAATGAATGTAGCTGGCCAGAAGAGAAATAGCTAAAAAGTACAAAGGTGTAGCAAGCCAGTAATCAGCTTCAGTTAATTGTTGCTTCTAATTTTTAAAGAGGAACTGGAAATCTAGACTTCTGTGGGAAATTTCCTGATTTTTAAATGTCGTCAACAAATTCAAATCCTTTATATACCACGCTCTTGGATAGAAAACTTTACATTATAAATAGGTATGAGTTCTCCCTATGCTAATTTATGAAATGAATGTGGTCTCAACAAAAATTCTAACTTTATTTCAGAGGTAGACAAGGTATTTCCAAAGTTAATACAGAAAAGCAGACAAAAAGCAAAGCCAGGAAAAGAGCTTAAAGAGAAGAGCAATGAGGAAGAACTAACCCTACCAAATATTAAATCATTACAAAATCTCATATACCAAAACACAATGGGAGGCCGGGCGCGGTGGCTCACACCTGTAATCCTAGTACTCTGGGAGGCCGAGGCAGGTGGATCGTTTGAGCTCAGGAGTTTGAGACCAGCCTGAGCAAGAGCGAGACTCTGTCTCCACTAAAAAAAATAGAAAGA